TGAAAGGTTGGTTGAGACTGATCGATGACAGATGTTTTTGCAGATAAAGACCAAGAGGCTTCTGCCAACACCCCTTTTCTGAAATGATGCTTCCTAAGGGAACTCCTTCTTTATGGGTTTTCGCCGTGAAAAACGCAGTTAGATATTGCTTGGAAGGAGCCCCAATGGCAGCTTTAAGAGCCGGGAGATTAAGGGAGCAGCAAAGTTGCTTTGCCTTTGAACGGAGAGACCCTGAAGGCCTAGTCTTCAGAGTATCAAAATTCTTTTTCAATGCCTGGCTCACCTTCTGTCCATAGGAACCTTCATCTAAGATGACAAAAACACCTGTTTTATCTGATTCCAGTAGTTTCAGGTGACTTCTTTGCAATTCTTCGACTGTAGCCCGGATCGGAACTTTGCCCGCAGGTGGAGGAGCATGGGCGCAGGCGGATCGGACTCCAGCATCAAGAAAAGCTTGCCGGTCTTGTTCTGGAATGTGAGTTGCAACAGAATGGACTGAAGTTAGTTGGTCGACCCTTGTAGTCGGAAGGTTCGGGGAAAACTTGAGACCCTTGGAAAGGAGATCCAAGGTGCCAGAACCTAGGTGATGGTCACATAGAACGACCGGAGGCTCCAATTTCGTTTGGAGGGTCTTATGGTGGAAAGTGGTCAGACCGGTGACAACCTTCTTCAATGAAGATTCGAAAAGATTGGACGCAGCCTTTTGGAGGAACCGGAAAGATGGGTGGGTTCCATAACCTGGACCAAAGATGATGGTCATCTGTTGTGGGAGGATCGTTTCCATAAGGCGTAACTGTCGTGAAACCTCCATCCTTTAAATTTGCATGAGTCTGTAGTTTGAAGCCCAGTTGTGGCAACAGAAACCCAGCATAGCTTCCACTCCAGGGTGAGGAATGCCTTTGCGGATGTGAAGCCCAAGGGAACGTAGCCTGAGGCGAAGAAGGGCCATGCTTGAGAAGAAGCTTGCTGCTTGAAAAACTCTACTCAAGCATGGACCTTCTTCGCCTCAGGCTACGTTCCCGTGGGCTTCATATCCGCAAAGGCATTCCTCACCCGGGAGTGGAAGCTATGTTGGGTTTCTGTTGCCACAACTGGGCTTCAAACTACAGACTCATGCAAATTTCAAGGAAGGAGGTGTCACGACAGTTACGCCTTATGGAAGCGATCCTCCCACAACAGATGACCATCATCTTTGGTCCAGGTTATGGAACCCACCCATCTTTCCGGTTCCTCCAAAAGGCTGCGTCCAATCTTCTCGAATCTTCATGGAAGAAGGTTGTCACCGGTGTGACCACTTTTCACCATAAGACCCTCCAGACGAAATTGGAGCCTCCGGTCATTCTATGTGACCATCAACTAAGTTCTGGCACCATGGATCTCCTTTCCAAGGGTCCCAAGTTTTCCCCGAACCTTCCGACTACAAGGGTCGACCAACTAACTTCAGTCCATTCTGTTGCGACTCACATTCCAGAACAAGACCGGCAAGCTATTCTTGATGCTGGAGTCCGATCCGCCTGCGCCCATGCTCCTCCACCTACGGGCAAAGTTCCGATCCGGGCTACAGTCGAAGAATTGCAAAGAAGTCACCTGAAACTACTGGAATCAGATAAAACAGGTGTTTTTGTCATCTTAGATGAAGGTTCCTATGGGCAGAAGGGGAGCCAGGCATTGAAAAAGAATTTTGATACTCTGAAGACTAGGCCTTCAGGGTCTCTCCGTTCAAAGGCAAAGCAACTTTGCTGCTCCCTTAATCGCCCGGCTCTTAAAGCTGCCATTGGGGCTCCTTCCAAGCAATACCTAACTGTGTTTTTCACGGCAAAACCCATAAAGAAGGAGTTCCCTTAAGAAGCATCATTTCAGAAAAGGGATGTTGGCAGAAGCCTCTTGGTCTTTATCTGCAAAAGCATCTGTCATCGATCAGTCTCAACCAACCTTTCAGAGTTACCAACTCCACATAACTTGTATCTCGACTTCATGACCTCCATTCTACTCCCGAGGCCTTTACCATGTTTTCGTTAGACATTGAGGAATCATATTACCGATTAGATCCCGCATTTTTTATGGATTCTGTATCAAGTGCCATCCACGAACATGGCCCATGCGACTTTCAGAACTCATCTGGGGTATCTGAACGAGGTTTTCTAGACCTTTTGGCCCTATATCTACAATCAACACTCGTCGAACATGGAAAGGAAATTCTCAGGCAAAAGAAAGGTGTCTGCATAGGCTCCTGCCTTGCCCCAGTCCTCAGCGAAATATTTCTAACGTATGTGGATAGGGAGATTGAAGCACGCCTTGAAGAGTTGACACTCGTCTTCCATGTTTTTCGTTACGTGGATGATTATTTAGTCATTCACCCGATCTCAGTTTCTTCTGATTCTGTAGTTCAAGCCTTTACTTCTTCGTCCTCAGGCCTGAATTTCACAAGGGAAAACAGCTCAGGCGATGGTCTCCAGTATCTCGATCTTCGTCTGCATCTTCTTCCAACCGGCATTTGTTGGGCCTTCCAACAACGATCTCGGAAACCTATTCTTCCATTCTGCAGTTCCCATTCTAAACTGGTAAAACATGGAATCATCCGGTCTCTCCTCTCATCTTCTCGCACCAAATCCTGTTCTCACTTTGCAAGCTTCAGCATTGCAAAACAACAAGAACGTCTCCTCAGAGCTGGGTATCCGCAAGGTCTACTGAGCACCATTCTTGTTCAGTTAATTCTAGCCACCCAAAGGCCCCGTGCTCCACGTAGTAAGCCTTCACTTGTTATCTGCATTCCCTATGTGCACAACTCGGCGCACAGACTGAAGGCAATTGCAGGGCGCTTCAACGTTTCAGTTGTCTTCTCGTGCAAGTTGCGCCTGAAACAACTGTGCTGGCGCGTGAACAATAACGAATCCTTCAAAAGATGTTCCATCAAACACGCTAATCAGACCGTTCCCTGTGAAGAGTGGGTGGTATACTCCATCCCTCTCTCATGTGGCGACCGATACATTGGACAGACAGGTCGTTGCCTTAACACCCGCCTACGAGAGCACGTCCTCGAGGTCTCTCGTGCTTCGGACGACACTTTTCACCCAATAGTGGTTCATCAACGCATCTGTACGAACTGTGAAGCCCGGTTCCAGGACACCTGCACGATTGGCAGACATAAGAACAAGCTCGGCGGAGAGATCATTGAGGCACACAAGATATCCCATGACGATCACAACATCGCTGCCCCTTCTCTCGCCTTGTCCAGAAATGAGATCAACTACCTGAAACCAGAGCTGGATTAGCCAAAGGGCGCTCTATCTCAATTTGTTAATAGTATTTTCCTTTTTTCTTTTTTCTTTTTCCTTCTTCCGAATTCTTTATCTTCTAGTGTATTGGGTGTGAATTTGTGTTTTTTTTCGTGTGTATATATATTAATCTCCGCATCTTCCTCTTTAGTCTCAAACGTTAGGAAGGAGATAGCACTATTGAAGGAGACACCAGTAAATGTGTGTTGCTATAGTCGGTTGCAAGCTAAGAAAAAAACGGAAATGCCTCTCAGAGGAAAATGTAATCCTACGCCGAGAAACGCCAGCCAATCGTTTTCATGACGTCACAATTCCGTGGACCAATCGCGATCCTTTTGAAAAAAAAAAAAAAGCTCAACATGGCTGCTGGCCTCAGCAACGCGACGCTAGTTTCTCGTGACAATTATTCTGCTTTTTTGCACTGTGTTTTACGTGCCCGAGGTTACGCCACGAAATCTTAATGGTATCGGCTTGCGTTTGCAGCATTTTTTGCGCGACAACGTGAGAATCCAGCGACGCTATCGCCAACGAAAATTTCGAAGCGGGCGCAAGGCTTAGCACTGCTGAGAGCTGGAAGACGGTATGTTAGACCGTATCTTGGACAGAAAATGAATTGGGAAGACGGTACATTGTACATGACTTTCTTTCTTTACTAAATAGCTATTTCGTTGACAAAAAAGTATTCTAACTCATTTAAATGTCCTGAATGAATTAAATAAATATTGTAGTAGTTTAAGACACGTTTCCTGGAGGAAGAAAAAGCAACGTTGCTAGCGAACTACTTTCTCGACGGTGGAGGCACTTCAGATGGGCGCAATGCGCTTGTGGGTGGAGCTAAAACATTGTTCTTAGCTTGCAACCGACTATAGTTGAAAGAACTGTGCTGTCTGTCCTTGTCCCTAAGTGTTTTTTATTCTTTCTTTGACCCCAGTATTTTCACCAACACGCTCTTTCATCTTTGTGTTTCATACATCTATTCAAACGAGACTGTCCCCTTTGGCTGGAATGCAAATTTGTTTACGTGAATTTTCGACTCACGTTGACATTTCTTTTTACATTTTGCTGCGTTCAAACGACTACTTGAGGTGCATATTTTCGCTTCCTTATTTGTGAACTATTTTAATTTCGAGAGCATATATGTCGGAGGTTTGAAAATGTGTACTCTTCCTGTTTTTTTTTCAACATTTTATATGCCACCACATTGTAACCAATGGGTTGTTCTGGGGCAAGATACAAATAAAGGATTAATAATAATATTATTATTATTATTATGATTATTATAATAGAAGAAGAAGACGTCTCCGAGAGCAGTCGTTCTTTTCGATTGTTATTCGAATTTCCATTAGTTATTCGTTACATTTCAAGCTCATCAACAGCCTGCAAGCAATCCGCTACAGCGGTCAAGTCCTGGCGTCCTCACGACCAGGTCACCATCGTCATTCATCGACCGCCTGCTCCGGGCGAGCTTTTGCAGCAAAACCGTGCCTAACCTCACTGGCATTCATCACCAGCTCCACGCTGTAGCGTTGCAAGTGTGCTGAACAAACAGAGCGCTACCGCGGCGGGCAGAATAAGAATCGGGCAGCCATTCCCATTCACTGGCTTTATTCTACTTCCTCTTCTTCGTCGCCGCCGCTATATACGGTGATCACGCGCAAACATAAAATCTACATCACTACATCACTTCCCCCGAGGAGCAAAGAAATGAACAGAGCGAAACGCTTTTCAGGAGCAGACGTAGTCCCTGAGTCTTGTAGGAGGGTACCTTGTACGGACCGGTCGTGCTGTTCCTGATAGATCAGGGCCAGGGGCTTCAAGGAATCGCTGGTTTCTTTCGTCCTCCTCCACGTCGAGCTGTTGTTCAAATTCCGGAGTCGGACGTGGTCCTTCACTGGATCTTTGAGCTTCGTTGGGTTGCAGGTCTCGTCTCTCCCCCACGTCGATGTGTTGTTGAGCTTCCTGGTAAGGGTGAGTATGACGCGTGTTCATGGCGTTTTCTTCCTCAGCATCATCCGCATTGATCAATTCATTATGTGCTCTGAGCTTCGCACTCGTGGGAAGAAGTTTGAAGAAACTTGAGTTCCTTGTGATAATTTTCTGATCTCTCTGAGCAGTTACCTGAGTCCCTTTGATTTCGATCACTTTATATGGCTGCGGGTCATAAGGGGGAGTGAGCTTGTTCGACGGAGGCTGTCTACACAGTACCCGATCTCCGACTTCGAAGTTGTGGGCTCTCGCATGTCTGTGTTCATCTGCGTAAATCTTGTGCTTCTTTCGATTTTCGTAATCCTTGTGTTGCCATTCCTGTGGCACGTTGTTAGTGTCTGCGGAATCGGGAAGGAGGTAGCCCATAGGTCTTCCAAAGAGTAGTTCGAAGGGCGTTTTCCCTGTCGTTGAGTGAGGTGTCGCCCTATAGGCCATTAGAAATTTGCTCAATTCGGAAGTCCACGTAGAGTTTTCCAACGTTGTCGCCTGTAGAAACCGTTTAAGTGTGCGCATGAATCGTTCGACCTCACCGTTCGCTTGCGGCCAGCAAGGCGTGATGCGCTGATGGCGAAATCCTAGCGAGTCAGCGAAGTATTTGAAGTCAAGGCTTTGGAATGGAGGCCCGTTATCCGTTTTGACGACCTTAGGAATCCCGAAGGTACTGAAGATCTTCATAAGGTTGGTGATGACAGTTGGGGCCGCTAACGATGATAATACCGCCACGAGAGGGTAACGTGACGTATCATCCATTAGGACCGTTATGTATTTGCCGTTAGGGAAAGGCCCCGCGAAGTCAAGTGAGAGCGCCTCCCAAGGTTGATTTGGCTTCGATGGAATCGCGACGGGGTCAGAGTGTTGATGTTGGATGGTTGCCTGACACGCCATACAGTTTTTAAGAGTAGTTTGTACCATGCTGTCTAGGTGGGGAAACCATACTTTTCGCTTCATGAGCGCTTTTGTTTTGGAGATGCCCTGGTGCCCAATGTGAGCGAGACATATCGCCTGTTGCTGGAGAGCAGCCGGTAGAACGAGGCAATTGCCTTTCAGTAGTAGGCCGCTGTCCGTCAGAGAGAGCTCGTGCTGTACGGATGTAAACTCTCTGAGTGCTGGGTCGTTCCACCTGGCAGGATTGCTGAGGGCAGCGATCACCTTTTGCATATGAGGGTCGTTTAGAGTGGCGGCAGCTACTTCTGCCCGAGTCATGGCTTTGGGAATGTTGTGGTGGGCAATGAAGTTGACATATGCATTAGTGCTATGAGCCAGGCGGGCGTCAGCAGGGGAGCTCGGCATGGGATGGCGAGACAGGTAATCCGAGGGGTTGTTGATTCCACACGTGTGCTCCACTCTGAAGTTGTATTGTTGGATTCTCAACACGAGGCGTTCAATTCGTGCAGACGGACACGCCCGTTGGTTGGTGAGGATGGAGACAAGGGGTTTGTGGTCTGTGCGAATGAGAAAGTTGTTACCGTAAAGATACAGATGAAAGTGCTCTGTCCCCCAGACAACTGCAAGCAACTCACGTTCAATCTGAGAGTACCGTGCTTCAGTGGGGGTCAAAGCCCGACTAGCATATGCGACAATCTCGGTGTTGTTGCCTTCCTTCTGTGCTAGTATGGCACCAAGGCCAACAGGCGACGCGTCGACCGTGAGAATTATTTCTTTTGTACCATCAAAAAAGACAAGGTTGGGGATCTCAGACAGCTTTTCTTTCAGCGTATCCAATGCACCTTGCTCTTCTGGTCCCCACACCCACTTGGTGTTCTTTTTTGTGAGAAGCCGAAGAGGGTACGTTATATCAGCAAGGTTAGGTAGGAAGCGTCCGCTGTAATTTACTGTACCAAGCAGACTTCGAACTTCATGAGCGTTGGCAGGGGCCGGCATTTTTTTTAGTGCTGCGATTTTCTGGGGGTCTGTTCTGATTCCAGAAGCAGAGAAAATGTGACCGAAAAAACAGAGTTCTTTCTGTGCGAAGAGACATTTTTTTGGATTAACTGTGAGGCCGTTCTCTGTCAACCTTTCGAGAGTTGCCTGGAGAGCCTGATCATGCTCATCCTTTGTCTTGCCAAACACAAGTATATCATCACTGATGTTGAGGACGTGAGGTATGCCGTTGAGTACTTGACAGATGGTTTCCTGGAAAACCTCGGCAGCTGCGTTAATTCCAAACATAAGTCGTTTGTAGCGGTACAATTTGTTGTGTGTTGCAAATGTTGTGATTGTTCTTGATTCATTATCAAGTTCTAGTTGGTGGTACCCATCTTTTAGATCAAGCTTCGTGAAGAGTGTTGATCCGTTCAGCGCTGTGATCACGTCGTCGATGGTAGGGCAGACGTGCCTCTCACGAAGAATGGCCCTATTCGCACATTTCATGTCGATGCATAGGCGAATGTCCTCTGGATTGTGCGGCTTTGGCACAATTACGACTGGTGAAACCCATGGAGTAGGTCCGGTTGCTTCTTCGATGATATCAAGGGCGAAGAGCTGGCTTATCTTCTCTTCTACTTTGCTTCGCACTGCAAAAGGGATTCTGCGATGGGGCTGAGCAACCGGGGCAATGGCTTTGTCAATGTGGAGGTGTACTTGGAGGTTTTTTAGTTTGCCTACACCCGCACACAACTCGGGAAAAGCAGCGAGTGGGGTCTCGAGCAAATTTGGGGGCACCTCTCCATTCGAGCGTGCATCTTTTTGTGAGTGTCCTTGGATGGCGTAAGTAATTTGGATTAGGCCCAGTCTATTTGCAGCAGCGAAGCTCAGCAGTGACTTCACGGTTCCCTCTATTACGAACACGTCTTCTGTTGTGTCGCTGTCCCTGTACTTCAGCGTGACACTGAGCTTTCCTATGATTGGTAGCGGAGCATCCGATCCATAGGCGTAAATACGCGTGCCTGCTTGTTGGAGTTTTGTGAGTGCTCCAAGCTTGTTAAGGGTAGAGGTTCCAATGACCGATACTGAAGCACCTGTGTCAATAAGAAATGTTATAGGGGTGTTGTTAACCTGCAGATGAACCTCTGGGAGGTTTTGGTGCGATACTTGTGATATAGTTCCGACAGCATAAACGCTCTCGTCGGAGTCAGAATCATGAGAAATCTGGAAGATAGGCTTGTGTGCTGATTGGCACACCTTGCCATAGTGTCCTTTTCTGCGACATGCTTTGCAAGAGGCAAATTTGGCGGGGCAGTTTACTTGTCCTCCCTCGTGGGGCCAGGGAGCACCACAGTGGAAACACTGGGGAGGCGAGACGTGGGTGCGTTGTTGTGCGCTGCCTCCATATTTCAGACGGGAAGAGAAGCAGCGAGGTTGTTGGGCATTTCTGGATGTGCCTGCATGGCCGTAGCGAGGCTGTCCAGAGATTGCTTGAACCGTGGGGGTTGTTGACGACCCTTCCATGGCAGTTGTTGCTCGGTTGACATCCTCGAGGAGTCGAGCCTGATTCAAAAGTGATGGAAGGTTAAGGTCTTGCCTTAGGGCTACTCGTCGTAGGCGTGAAGATGTCGTTGCAAATATGATCTGGTTCTTGATTTCCTCGTCGGCGTTCGCGAAACCGCAATTGCGGGCAAGCAGTCGAAGCCTTATCGAGAATTGGCCGACAGATTCGCCCTCGAGTTGCTTTGCCTGACGAAACTGAAAGACCTCGAAAGTGGTGTTCATGCGGGGATTGAAGTATGCGTCAAGCTTGTCTTTGAGAGATTGGTATGAGTTTCTGGTCGTTACTGAGGGTGTATCAGCATCTGGTGTCGTACTTGAAGTGGGACCACTCTGCTGGTCAGGAAGGGTATCGCAGAGTTCATGGACACGTTCCCCCGCATAGTGGAGCAGGAGAGAACGTTTGCGTGCGTCATTCTTCACATCGAAAGCGATGAGGAAGTTTTCAAAGCGAGTGATCCACTTTCGCCATTCGGTGCCGATATTAGTTGGGTCAGTGGCATCCAAGTCAAAAGGGGGCAGTGAGGTTGGAATGAGGGTCATCATTAGTGGAGAACAGTAGGCTTGGCTGTGAAGCTAGCGGCTTGTGATACAGCGGCGGCGCGCTGCGAGGTCGTAGAGGGTGGACACTTGCCAGAACAGTAGCTGAAGACTGCCTATCCCATCCTCGTCGCCAATGTAGCGTTGCAAGTGTGCTGAACAAACAGAGCGCTACCGCGGCGGGCAGAATAAGAATCGGGCAGCCATTCCCATTCACTGGCTTTATTCTACTTCCTCTTCTTCGTCGCCGCCGCTATATACGGTGATCACGCGCAAACATAAAATCTACATCACTACACACGCCACCTTTCTTGGTACGAAATACTTCTCGAGTGGACTCAAAACCACAGGACGACTTGCGTATCAAGACGCACGGTATTTATTCCTGTTTCCTATCGCTATCCTCCCATGTCTTCTCAATCTCCATCAAAGTGTGCTAAAGGCTACGAGAAGATTATCAGCGATGGTCGCCATATGTTCTGCGCCGACTGCAAAAGGTGACTTCACCTGGGGAAGATGTGCTCCGGTGTTGCGGAAAGCACCTTCAAAACCATAGGTGCTGGTAAAAGGGAGATCTGGCGCTGCCGTCTTTGCCGACAACAGAGTAGTGTGGCTGATTCCCAAAATGAGTCGCAGTGTGAATCTCCGTTGACTGGTGACCACTTTCGATCACATAAATCTAAGCTGGAATGCCTTACCTTACTGAAGTCAAACGTTGAGTCCCTCTTGATCTACCATCCAAGATCGGTCAAATCTTGACCTTAAAGCCGGTAGTGAAGAACCTCAAGTCCACCGCATCGGAGGTTCAAAAGTTCATCGACTTTTTGTCAGACAGGTATGACTCCCTATTAGCGACAGCCACCACCACCTCCCCCTCAATAACAGAGCTCCAGAATGAAACAACATCTTTAAGAACAGTGATAGCGGAGCAGTCTGAAACCATTCAACATCTCCAAGAGGAGCTCAATGGCAGCGAACAGTTCAGTCGTCTCTCCAATCTAGAGATTCACGGGCTGCCTCATTCCGCAAACGAAAATCTGACTATTGTTGTAGGCGAGTTAGCCAGTCAACTTGGCCTTTCTGACTTCCATCCAATAGACATTCTAACAGCGCACCGTATACCATCTCGACGTTACATCCCTCCGCCTATACTGATTAGATTTTCTTCGATGATAGTTAGGGTTCAATGGCTCACCGCAAGAGGAAAGCTGCGGACTCTTGCAGCCAACGGGTAACTGCCAAAACTGTTCGTCAGCGAAAACCTCACCCGAAAGAACAAGGAACTGAGAGAGCAAAGGCAAGGCTGTACAAGCTGTACAAGTGAGAGAACGAAGGCAAGGCTGTACAAGTTCACATGGGTCAAGAACGGTAAGCCATACACAAAGACAGAATCCTCTCCAGTTGTCTGCATCCATCGGCTGGACGACCTAGAAAAGATTGTTTAGTCTTCGTCTTTGCTAAACGGCTCTGTGAACATGGAATGAAGACAACATAGAATAACGGAAGAACAGTTTTGTCGGTGCTCTGATTGTTTGCCCCTTCAAGGTTTCTTGTACCCAGTGAGTGATAGCGCTCTTAGTCTCTTTAATGTGAACATTAAGAGTATACGCAAATATCGGGATCAGTTTATAGCAACTGTGAATGATACAGTAGAATTGTTCAATGATTTTGTACAAAAAGAAATCAATGTTAAAAAGAACTTCTGCACTGAATTCCGGATACCGGGTTATAAGGCATTCCTTTTAACATGTACAATTGTACGAGGAGGAGGAATTGCTATATCTGTTAAAGGTACCTGGAGCGCTGAAAGACTTCATGTCTTTCAGCACACCAGGTATCTTGGTTTCTTATTTTGAGTTCTTATTTGCGAGTCGCTATCACTGAATGTATCGAATTCTAAGTGGTCGTTGATGTTGCTAGCTCTTTACAGGCCTCCGTCAGGTAATCCTTCGACATTTTTGAACGAACTCCGAGATACGCTTTATAGTTTTCAGTCTATCGATGATATTTGTCTAATAGGCGACTTTAACATTGACATGCTTAAACCCTCCAAGTCTGTTGTTTGTGATTATCTTAACCTATTGGCACTCTTTGGTATTGAAGGTTTGATTCTTGCTCCTACCCGAGAACTTTTAGAAGATCATCTTGTGGCGTCATGCCTTGATCATATTAATGTACGCGTACCTGGTATAGTTGCGAAATCAGCGGTAATAGAGCAAAAACTTTGTGACCATTGCTTCGTGGCATGTTAACTTATGCCACAACTCAATGTTAAATCACAAAAAGAGAGAACAAAAATAATTGAAATAATTGGTCGAACGAAGTTTGATAACTTGGTTAGGGCGAACAATTGGAACATTTTGTTATCTACTGACGACTTTGACGACGTTTACATAAGGTTTAAAGATCAATTTTGTGCAATCAGGATCCAAGCAAAAAAGGTCATTACTGTGATGAGACGTCGGAACGAACACGACTGGCTAACGCGGGACATTCTGCTAGAAATTAGGTCTTAAGAGTTCCTTTGGGCACGATGCCGACGTTCTCCAAATAATTCTCAATTGAAGACAGAATTTCGCAGTACACGAAATTGTTTAAACGTGCTGATACATTCGGCGAAAAGAAAATACTTTCGAGATCAATTTTTCTAAAGCAAGGTCAAATATAGCACATACTTGGTGTGGGAAATCGACTACGAGGCAAGGGGATTAATAGATCGATTGATCACACACTCGAGAAAACATTCGTTCATGGTACAACGCAACTGGTTGAGGATTTTAATAAGTTATTCGCTGAATTCTCCGGAGTAGCCCAAGATGATGCTCTGTTTTCAGCAGGGACTCTAGACTCAAATCTTTCCTCGGCTTTCCTTCCCCAGATGACGGAGCTTGATGTAAGAACTTCGCTTTTCAGTTTCAAATCAAACAAGGCCCCTGGTAAAGATGGCATCAGTGCAGAAGACGTGAGCAGAAATTATGACTTCATAAAACACGTGCTCGTTTATATGTTAAATGGTTTCATTTACCATGGAAAAATCCCGGATAATTTAAAAAGTGCCTTAGTAAAGCCTTTATTCAAAGGTGGGGAGCGTAACAAACTTAACAATTACCGCCCATTTTCAATCTTACCTTGTATAGTGCAAATTTTGGAAAAGCATATCCTCAATACTATGACGCCGTACCTAGATAGCTTTGATATCCTATCCTCTAGGCAATATGGGTTCGTTAGTGGCCGGGGCACCCAACCACTTCTGCAAGATTTTGCTGATGAACTGCATCTAGCTTTTGAAAGGCATCAAGTCGCATGTGCACTTTTTATTGACGTGGCGAAACCATTTGACACGGTGAACCATAGAATTGTACTTAAAAAATGGCATAAAATTGGATTCCACGGCCCATTCCTTTCCCTGCTTCAGAACCTTTTGAGCGGCCATACAAAAGTAGTTTCTATAAACAATAGCCGAAGCTCCAAAGTAAATTTAAAAGCTGGAGTTCCCCAGCGATCTATTTTGTCGCCTCTTCTTTTCAACGTGTTTGTCAATGATATGTTCGACGCTGTCTCCACATGTAAACTATTCCAATACGCTGACGACATGGTACTGCTCTCCCTCCACCTTGGTTATATTCCAGCCATGACGCTACTCCAAAAAGACACTTGCTGCCTACTTGATTGGCTTAAAAGAAATTGTCTCGAGGTAAATATATCAAAGACTAAACTAGTCTGCTTGCATAATCCTCTAAGAAATATAACATTTGATCATCCACTTTACATGCATACTTCTGACTGTGCAGACGGCAACTGCTGCCCAGTGTCTTATGCAGATCAGGTTAAGTATTTAGAAATTGAGTTTGATAGTGCTTTGTCATAAAATTTTCATATGCTTAATATCTGTATAAAACTGAGAAAAGTGTCATGCTTACTCTATAATACAAGATCATGAATTCCTAAATCAACCAAAAAGATGATAGCTCAAATGTTAGCTTAGTGTTTTAAGGTATGGCATAACAATTTTTGGACATGGGTCTGTAATATGGGGCAAAAAATTGATTCAGTCCTGAAAGGAATGTTTAAGAGTATTTATTGTCTATGGTCCATCGTCAGAAACTGAAGAAGAAAAATTAAAAACTTTAGGTTTGCCACTCTTCAATGCTGTATTGGTTCAGACTGTTGTACAGAAATATTTTTGGAACGATGACTATAATGAACCCAATATAGTATTTAGATCACTTCGTCGGACCGAACGTTATAAAGTTACTTCTATCACCACGAACTATGGAAAAAGAGTTCGCAATTACTATGTGCCTTTAATCTTCGCTGACCTGCCGGAAAACATATATGGTGTGGACTCTCTAAAAAAACTCAAACAAGTGCTCCGAGATTTCAATGGAACAACATAACTATGCGTGAGTGTGTGCGCGTGTGTGTGGGTGTTTTTTTGTTTTTGTTTACATGATTATTATTGCATTACAGTGTAGTTATCGATAATATGTGCATGTTTTTTTTTCATCAGATTTTATTGCATTACAGTGCAGATGCTGCATGGTGAGCTTGACACTGTTTGTGAGGGGGGGATATTGCAATTATGACCAGTAGGGTGCTGTCCCAGAAGCCTTTACTAGCTTTGACAGACCAGTGCCTCGACTTGAGAAATTATCCCCACAAATAAATATATTATTATTATTATT